TAGGGTACAAAATATGAATTCTTATCACATACACTGTAACTTTGATTTAATATGAAAGGCAATACAAGCTTCATGTTCCTTTCTTTTTCTTCCCTTTTTAATGATTACATGCTTATTATTATTATTAATTTCACAATTACCAGATGTTTAGAAAGCCTTGATCAGAAAATGGAAACATGGTAGCTGTCAGTTTAAACAAAGTGTAAAGAAAGCATAGAAATTATCGCAGATCAAAGCCGAAATATTTATATTCTTCATTATCTGATTGAAGGAAACTGGTTCTCATGTCTTCTATATGGTGTTTTAACCTTGAATGGTTGACCTTTTCTTCAAAATGAATTGTCACTAATGTTGTTTTTCTTTATATTGGATTGTGTGTATCAATAACTTTAATCAAATACAGTGTGTTTTGAAAAAAAAATATGTTTATAAATTGCCGGAATAGCAGAAATAAAACTGCATGCAGTAGCTATCAAGAGATAATTATTATATTGAACATAAATTTTTAGCACTATGTGTTTTACATATATATCTTCAAACTTCAGGCTATGGGTTTCCTAATTCCTCTACTTATTCTTACAACACTTCTTGTTAATTTTTGAAAGCATTTAATCCCTGCAGGATGTTATTATCATATGCAATTGCTGAAACATTCAGTATCACCGGGGCATAAAATACTGTTAATAACCTCTAGCAATGTTCTTTTTTTACAAACAAATGCAACAACACTTACATATATTAAAAAGCATTGCACGTGTTATAAACCCCACCCCCTGCTTATTTCCAGAATGATATTAGAATAAATTGCACGTGCTTTTGACCCCGCCATATATTATTTTACAGAATAATAGTTAATAAATCGTAATAGATAAATCTTATTTATGATGCTTTAATACAAGCTGAAAAATATTGAATTAACTGGATGTTAGATTCTCAGCAAAGCTGCTGAGCCTTTTAGTTACCGTGGTGTTTCAGTGCTGTACCTCGAAAGTGTAAAAATCATTTTGTCTCCACCAAACTGAACGCATTTGTACAAGTATATTTATTGTTAAATCTATGTACCAATTTGGTAAATACGTTATACGTATGTAATACAGTTTACGAAGGCCATTTGATAAGAAATGCAATATACAGTATTTCACAGTAAATTTAGAGGCCTTTGATTTTATCTATAACAGCTAAAAAGTTCTATTAATAAATTCCTCAACACAGAAAACCCAATGCATTTTCCTACTGTCATCGCAATGAAATTCACTTAAATGTAAGCATTGTCACTACAATGTGCAGAAAACTGTTTACAATAGCTAAAAAATAATGTTAGCTAGATCTTAGCAATTGTGAGATCTTTTTATCCAAAAAATCATATGAAATCGATCAGCGGAAAATTGTACATTGTTAAATAATGACCACCGTTTTCCTCTTGGAAGTTTTCGAAGATACAAATGAACAAATTTTAGAATTATAATTAGATAATAAAAAAACAATGCTATGTCAAACATTCTGTTCTATGTAGAATTTTTTATAGGAGATGGAAAATGCTCTTTTTGCTATTTCTGACATTTACCTATCAATCAAAATCATCAAAATCTATAGAGAAGTATCAGTAAAACAAAGAGAAATAAATGATTTTAAATTGAAAAAAAATATATAATTTAGAACAAAAAATTAGCACATGCATTTTCCCATTCTGTTAATATTTTTACATCGAAATTAAATAACATACTTAAATATATAAGGTAGATGTGCCTATAAAAATATTTGGATTTAATACTGAAAAAAAATCAAATACACTCAGGATAAGTGGATCAGAAAGAAGATTAACTTCTCTCTGTACAATATCAGTTAGTCCAAATGTGTTTTGCTACAGTTGTTTATAAATGATAGAAAAGCATCTATAAGACCAATAACTATGATTTCAACAAAATTAAGCATCCGTGTACTTTCTACGTCCGGTGTTGCAGAATATTTGTTCCGCCTCGTTTAAAGGTCGGCTGAACAAATAGGATAAGCTATGGTATAAGGTCCGGCTTACATAAGGGCCGATGTAAAGACGAATAATGCCCCCCACAGAAAAATGACCCTTCTGTTCTTAAAAATAGTGTCATTACCGTAAACATTTGCATACTCCTTATGAGGAAAAATGTCTCCCGTAGAATAATGAGCACTTGTGGATTTAACTTGAAAATTTAATTTAGGGGGCGAAAAATATTAATAAAGAAAAAAGTGGTAATGTGAACAATGAGCTTTCGAAATGATACCCCCCTGCTCCCATATGGATTTAATGGCACTGTCCATGTTTTGCTATGGGGAACCTAAAATATGTGTTGCATTAAAAGTGTAAAATAAGAGGTTATACATGTAATGGCATTTTGTAATAAAGAAACTCTGAAAAAATAAAATTCCATATAGTGGTATTAGACAAGTTGTGAATAAGAGAGATGGGTACACCAGAGCGTAACAGACGGACGGACGTACCTGTTAATACAGGTATATACCCTCCCGCTCTTCATTTTTAGCCTGGGAGTATAATAAAGAAACCTTTTGGCCAAAATGCCCCCTGAGCTAAATTGGGATAAATTGATGATAAATTGATATAATTTCTATAATGATGAACATTGTTTTTCTCGGTGGTGGAGAATCATCGTATTGACAGAAAAATGCAGCAATATCATATATTACTAAATATTATCATAATATTTCAAGTGGGGGTTATATAGTGATCGGGATGTCCGTCCGTTTGTTATAATTTGGGCTACCTATCTCTTATCAGCATAGTTACACAACTCCTCATATACTACCAAATGAAATTTAATGAGACCTTCAAATAATCTTTGTTACAAAGTGCCATAGTGCATCTTTTTTACTTTTTGATCGGACACACATGTTGGATTTTACATAGCAAAATATGACTATTGCCATTTTTTCTATAATATTGAAGAGTTATTGAGTACCCATCTCTTTATCGCAACTCCTTCCATACCACTTATAAAATGTATTCATATTTTTAAAGATTCTTTATTACATAATGCCATTGTGCACCTACTATTTTACTTTATGATCTAATGCTCATTTCGTCTTCCCCAGCGTAATGCATAGACATTGTAAATATGATCATATGAGAGGCGGGGGGTATCACTTAGTGGGATCAATGCTCACAATACCTCTACTTTAAATCCTGTTTTATTCCACCCATTTACTCTGTTCTATGTATATTTTTATAGTTAAATAGTAAAATCAATATTGTAACTTTTTTCATACTAAAAAGAAATAAAATATTAATTGGAGACCATTACTTTTTATTAAACATGTTCATACTTCGCACATGAACCCATTAAGCATCTAAACACCTCTCAAAACTGGAGGTACAGTGAGCTATGAGCTGTGTCGTACATTGTACGTGTTATATTAAAAGTTTAAATTCAAAGTTTGAACTTATCTATAACTACAATGTATCTAAATGTATGTAAATATGTAAACATATTGAAAAGGTATTCACAAGTACAAAATATGAATTCTTATCACATACACTGTAACTTTGATTTAATATGAAAGGCAATACAAGCTTCATGTTCCTTTCTTTTTCTTCCCTTTTTAATGATTACATGCTTATTATTATTATTAATTTCACAATTACCAGATGTTTAGAAAGCCTTGATCAGAAAATGGAAACATGGTAGCTGTCAGTTTAAACAAAGTGTAAAGAAAGCATAGAAATTATCGCAGATCAAAGCCGAAATATTTATATTCTTCATTATCTGATTGAAGGAAACTGGTTCTCATGTCTTCTATATGGTGTTTTAACCTTGAATGGTTGACCTTTTCTTCAAAATGAATTGTCACTAATGTTGTTTTTCTTTATATTGGATTGTGTGTATCAATAACTTTAATCAAATACAGTGTGTTTTGAAAAAAAATGTGTTTATAAATTGCCGGAATAGCAGAAATAAAACTGCATGCAGTAGCTATCAAGAGATAATTATTATATTGAACATAAATTTTTAGCACTATGTGTTTTACATATATATCTTCAAACTTCAGGCTATGGGTTTCCTAATTCCTCTACTTATTCTTACAACACTTCTTGTTAATTTTTGAAAGCATTTAATCCCTGCAGGATGTTATTATCATATGCAATTGCTGAAACATTCAGTATCACCGGGGCATAAAATACTGTTAATAACCTCTAGCAATGTTCTTTTTTTACAAACAAATGCAACAACACTTACATATATTAAAAAGCATTGCACGTGTTATAAACCCCACCCCCTGCTTATTTCCAGAATGATATTAGAATAAATTGCACGTGCTTTTGACCCCGCCATATATTATTTTACAGAATAATAGTTAATAAATCGTAATAGATAAATCTTATTTCTGATGCTTTAATATAAGCTGAAAAATATTGAATTAACTGGATGTTAGATTCTCAGCAAAGCTGCGGAGCCTTTTAGTTACCGTGGTGTTTCAGTGCTGTACCTCGAAAGTGTAAAAATCATTTTGTCTCCACCAAACTGAACGCATTTGTACAAGTATATCTATTGTTAAATCTATGTACCAATTTGGTAAATACGTTATACGTATGTTATACAGTTTACGAAGGCCATTTGATAAGAAATGCAATATACAGTATTTCACAGTAAATTTAGAGGCCTTTGATTTTATCTATAACAGCTAAAAAGTTCTATTAATAAATTCCTCAACACAGAAAACCCAATGCATTTTCCTACTGTCATCGCAATGAAATTCACTTAAATGTAAGCATTGTCACTACAATGTGCAGAAAACTGTTTACAATAGCTAAAAAATAATGTTAGCTAGATCTTAGCAATTGTGAGATCTTTTTATCCAAAAAATCATATGAAATCGATCAACGGAAAATTGTATATTGTTAAATATGTCATTGGAAGTTATATTTATCAGTGTGTTTGGAGAATTCCAAAGATAAGTATAGTATGCTGAGCTTTTATTCTTCAGTAGATGGACACTAAGACCGAAGACATGTGTTAAAGTTAACAGGGGAAGTAATCCTTCAAACACTTATGGAGTTTCGAACATTTTTAGGAAGCAGATATTCGTAGGGGTACTCATGAATCTTGTGTTCAGAATTCACAATGGAGCTATTCCTTTGATTTATGTTGTACGAAACTGTTTTCAGGTTTTGTTGAAATCTGCAAAATAATTCAATAAATTTAAGTAAACAAAGATGGATAATAAGGCAAGCTTTTTCTTTTTTTAGGGCACCTGAGTAAACTCAGGTGACCTATTGCTATCTATTGTCGTCCGTCGTCGTGCGTCTTCCGTCGTGCGCCGTGCGTTAACATTTTCAGCTTCTTCTCTGCAACCACTCAACCAATTTTGACCAAATTTGCCACAAAGCATCTATGGGTAACGGGAAACAAAAATTGTGAATTTCATGGTCCCTGCCCCCCTGGGGCCTGAGGGGTGGGGCAAAAACCTGTTAAATTAATGAAATCTTTAAAAATCTTCTCCTTTACTCCTGGACATCAAGCAGTCAAACTGTTTGCATGATTGTAATCAACATTAAGTCCTCTACCAAAATTGTGAAATTCATGGCCCCAGGGTCAGGGGTTCTAGTGCTAGGGCGGGGCTAAATTTATTACATGGTGAAAATGCATAAACTCTTTGAGAATCTTCTTCTCTGCTCATGGGCATTAAATAAACATACCAAGTACATAGTTATGTTGAATTAGGTGGCCTCTACCAAAATTGTGAAATTCATGGCCCCTGGGTCAGGGGTTCTAGTGCTAGGGCGGGGCTTTATTGATTATATAGTGAAAATACATTAATTCTTTAAAAATCTTCTTCTCTACTCCTGGGCATTAAATAAAATAACTAAGTACAAAGTTGTGTTGAATAAGACTGCCTCTCCCCAATTTGTGAATTTCAGGGCCCCTAAGTCAGGGGTTCTTGTTTTAGGGTGGGGCTCTAATGATTATATAGTGAAATGCATGAATTGTTTGAACATCTTATCCTTTGCTCGTGGTCAATATACTAATGATCTAATTACATATTTAAGGCCAGGATTTATTTTATTTTCTGTTTTTTCAGTAAAAAAAAAATTCCGATTTCAAATTTGAGTCGGGATCGAGATTTCAAATTTACGAACTCGCACTTCCGGTTTAAGATGAAACGGCGGGTAAATAAAGCTAGATCTGCGAAGATAGCTTGGTTTATTGTAAAATTCATCGATAAGAGTGCCATTCAAAACGTTTCACCAGTTCAAAGGACAAATAAAATGCTGACGACTTTGTTGCACAATGACATGCCGGTGAGATAATTATGTATTCGTTTCAAAAGTTTCTGTAAATTATTTTCCTCCCACGGGTTTTAAATTGCCCGCGGTAGCTATTGCAAATTGCCAGCGACATTGTTTAGGTCTCTGTTATAGCTTACAGTCTAAGCATCATTCTTCAGAAAAGATTTGCTTATGCATCAGACGTAATGAATAAAACTATGGGAGAAGTTAAGTCCATTTAAGGAAGAAATAAACAATAACTTGAAGAAATAAAAAAAAATTCAACTTGTAAAAAGCAAGAATATACAAATATATACAGGCATGTAGTATCATTTGTATCAGCCAGAAAAATTATTTTACACTTAATTGAAAAAATTGTTCACCAAACTCCGCAATACCCACTGTCTGTTTTATGATAGGAATTATAATTTATAGACATCAAGTATATTTTATAACAATGTCTACACATTCACCTAACACATATAAAAAAATGAAGATATATTGAAAGACTTTTAAAGAATTGATTTTTTAAAATATATTTTGATCAACATCACAAAATTTATATAACTGGCCCAAACTAGCAGATGATGAAATAAGGAATTAAATGTTCTACTTTCCTATTTGTAAGCATTATGTGTCCAATGGTAAGGAGCCTATTAGGATAGCATAAAAAAAGAATGTTCAAATGTTGATAATTGATTTATCCAAAAAAAAATTTTTTATTTCCTTCTCCCTCGGGACTTTTTCATTCTGATGTTCATAACTAAACCTAAAAATAAAAAAAATGCTGGCCTTAGGATGAAGAAAGGGGCCACTTTCAAAATAGATAATTTCAGGGCTGCTGGGTCAGGGGTACCAGGGGGGTACTTTGACTAAAAATAAATTAATGCTTTGCAATCTGCTCTTTGATAAGCAATAGTGCCTCTTTCAAAATTTGTGAATTTCATGGCTTTTGGATTAAAACTCGAACCAAATACAATCACTGGAAAGTTGTTACATGATACTCAGGTGACTTATAAGGCCCGTGGGCCTCTTGTTTACATTTCATACTCATTCAGTATACAGAATAAGTTTCAATGGTTATGGCGTTTGTATTTATAGCTCAAAATAATTTGATATGTAAGGTACATGTATATCTAATGGAATAAATTGAAAGCATTGTACAGTACGTTAAACTCCTACATACTTTCGCACAATTTGTCTTCCAACATCGTCCATGGCATTCCAGTACACAGACTCATAGTTGCCAAGGTTGTTACTCGTAATAGTGATCAAAGTCACCATTATTTGTATTGTAGAGAAAAATTCCGGCCCTGTTGGCATTGATGCGTCAAGGTTAGGCAAACCCTTTCAAAAAATGTAATTATAGTAAAAATGATCTTTATATTACATGATTACATTTTCCTAGATACTTCTTTATATTCAGTCATTTCCTAGCAATGACCTTGTTATACCATGCAACAATATGTTAAACTTATGTAACTTGTTTTAGTAAATAATCACCCAGCGCAGAGCGCTTTGTCTTCACATGGTCTTTTTTTTATCTGTTTTCAAGAAAGGATAATCAGGCCAATTGTTCAATTGTTAATTTTCGAATCGACAATCCACCCCCGTCTTCAACCGCTGTGTTTTATTTTGTTTGACCCACCTTCTTGATGGCAGGCAGAAATGTAGCATATTTTTGTGTATGTTTGAATTTGTTATGTTATGGTGGGGGGGGGGGGGGGGGGGCTAAAGATATATATGTATGTTATATATTGCCAAAGTTCCATGATTTTCTTTTCTAGCCTGGATGACCAAGTGTCTTTTTGATATTCCTTTTCTTTGTACACCATTTTATTATGATGCAAAGGGTCAGATTGTGCAATATTGTGATTAGGATATGAAATACTTCATATTCCCTCTTTCTGACCAATGTTCTTGTATAGTAAATTTTTACTACTTTCGTCATTAACTTCATAAAATGACATTTGTTTACTTCTAGTTTGTTTATGCCAGCTTTAAAGAAACAAGCTCAGTCGTTTGGCAGAACTATGGAACTTAAAGTAATATTTGGAAAAAATAATGTTCAATTCAAAAGTGTTATGGGGCAATGATATGAAATATATATTTACGGTTTCTACGTCGGGTTGGCCATTCAAAAGAAGAGGCATGTTTGGAGGGAAGGCATATTGTTCATACTGTGGAAAGTTTGATGCAGAATGCTCCACGCTACAGGTGTAAATGAAATTCGTCAGCACGGTCACGACATTAGCTATGCCGTCAAACTCTGGTAGACCCTAGGAAAGAGAATTGATTTTTATATAAAAAATATTTCTTTACATTAATTAAATAACAAAATTTTCATTTAACACTTTTAAAATTTTCGTTTTCAGCAAAAATGACTAAAATCCTTAGAATCGTACATTTAATGAGAGGTATGTAAAAACATAACCCGCAATCTTCATGTACATAGGCATAATTTCATTTGTATATGGGGTTTCTTGATGCAAACTTAAAAAATACGTTCTGCATTTATAAATAAAAATATCATTTTCTTAAAAATAAACTAGGTTTATTTTCTAAAGTCAATTTCGCTTAAATTTGAAGAACAAACTATGTTAAATAAAATCAGTTGCGAAAATTTCATTGCCCTCTGCAGTTATGCGGTAGTTCTCAAAAGGTATGTCAATTTACTCCATTCAAAAAAGTTTAAAAAGGCATGAAAGATACAACCTCCTAGCTGCAACGTTGTGTGCAGTTTTTTTTATCACGCACACTTCTCTGTTTGCACACATTGTTCCAGCAATAAATGGAGATTACATCTAGTATATTTTCATGAAAACATAATAAAGAAGGAAATGGAGATAACGAACAGTATTCAGTATCAAAGTCCATAAAACAATACAAAATAGGAGCAGAGCAAACACGGACCTCCGAAACATCAAAGGTGGGATGAAGTGGCATGGAGGAGTGAGCATCCCCTGCTGATCGGTCACATCCGCTGTGTGCTCCTTGTCATAATGGAAAAATTCGTCGGCAATTCAGTGTATAAATAATGAACTAACAATTAGTATGAAAAACGTCAGTGAACAATTGACTTAATGATAAATTATATTTGCTTGCAAGGTCATTATTGTAATGCTTAAATATTAAAATGCATATTCCAAAAAGAATTACCAGCATTCCACAGCCTCCCATTCCATTCATGGACCGAGGTGCTACAAGTTCAGCTCTGAGGGCCTGAATTTCCTGGTCTTGTAAAACTTCCTTGTCAACATCTAGGAGATTTTTAAAATCAAAACGATGAAATATATATTTGAGATCCTGAGAGTGTGTTGAATGAAATCTGAAAACTGCATTTTCCTTTCTCTAATGTATATAAATCGTAGTAATTAAAAATAGTAAACAAACCGTAGTAATGTGTAACGTATTCGTGAACGTAGTTTCGTATCACTTCATATATCTGTAGGGCGTCGTCCCTGAAAAAGTATCCCGGTATATCCTGAAAAAAAGAGAAATCTTTGATTTGATCTTTGACACATAAAGACACTGAAGTTGACATCAAAAGAAAGTTAGCGTTTTTGATTGACCATATCTATGTGGTTTTTGGAGACCAGATCTTCCAACAATTTATTGGAATCCTCATGGGTAGCAATTGCGCTTTGTTATTAGCACATCTATTTCTATATTCATATGAAGCAAAATTTGTGCAAAATCTTATGCGTGAAAAGAAGGAAACACTTTCTGTGGCCTTCAACTCGACATTTAGATTTACTGACGACGCATTGACAAGTAAAAATGGTAATTCCCATTCCTACATCGATACGATATATAGGCCTTTCAACTAATTTTTCAAGTTAAACATATGGTAAAAAACATTGTATAGATGGATTTATAGGTACATGAAATTATCAAAAAAGATAAAAACTTATGCATACTTTTAATTACATCATTAAAAGGTTTAATCATTTATAATTGACTTTTCCGATGTTGTGTTTAAGGACAGGTAACTCAGGTGTGAAAAATGACCAACTTAGTGCCGATTTATGAGTTATCGTTTATAGGAATGACATATAGGTTGCTTCAGCATTGGTATTGTTATATACACAAAAGGATTCCTTACATTGTTTTGTACACAAAACGTTTTGCCCAAGAGAAAGAGAATGCCTTCACTCTACCTGAAATAACAGGGTCAAATGAATGGGGAACAGACTATATTCAATAGTTTTAACTCTCTTTGACGATTATAATGAAGAAGAAAATTTAATGTCATGTCTTTTGTGTTCGCGCTTTTTCGCTTCCTATATAGATATATATACTTTTACAAGTAAATGCAACAATTGATCATCTTATTTGTGTTACTAAGCACGAAGGGGAACGACCGAGTATAAAAATTTAATTAGGTTAGAACTGAGAAGGAGGGTAGATTTCACTTTTTATTTTATTTAAAAATTTTAATTATATGCAGTAAACCGGTGTCCGCAACTACACAGTAAATAAGTTTAACATTGGTGCTAAATTTTAAAACCACCGGATTCTACTGAGAGCTAAGAAACACTTGGGAAATGCTAAAAACTGCCTTGCGTGTAAACAGTTAGATACCCCGAGCCTGCTCTAAACAAGTTTCAGCAGTGAGTTATCGTTCATAACTCCGACCCCTAGCGGCAGTTGAAAGGCCTACGATATATCCTGGTGAGCTTGAGATAAAAGATACCACAGAGTCTGACATATCTGTTTCATACTCGGATATTTTACGTCACAAGACTACATATGAAAATCGTATCAAATGACTTACTGTGATAAGCTCGTTTTAACCTCCAATCCCTCTTTCATATATTGTTGTTTACGAAAAGTGTTGACAAAAAAGGATAAAACTTTTGTGGTATGACTGACATTTACAATATACAAAGAAAATCTAAATCATATGTATGCTACTTAAGTAATGAAAAGATTTACCATGACACCTCGCTTGCGGAAGTTATCTTCTATTGATGCATGTTCCTCAAATGACCATTTTTCATTGCTAAAATTGTAAGAATAAAGTAAAGAAGAAGAAAAAAATATTGTTGAAAGACAATTCATTTTTCCAATTGATATATCCGTCATCATTTTGATTGATAATTGTTCAATAATCTATATTTGATGAAAGATATAAAAGACTTCTTTTCATATCTAATCTATTTCATTATATTGATAAGTTTAGCCTAGCTAACTTTTAAAGACTATGAAACATTATGCTCTGCAAAAGCATTCAAAACATAGAGGATTCACTACGTTTTATGATTAAATGTATAAAAGGATTATATGTTCTTCTGAGAAACACAGTTAATATGTTGTCATAGTCCTGAAGATTGAAAATGAATTTAGTAGAGTTAAATTCGATCGTGTAATTTTTTGTTATACGATTGAGTGTGTGGATATATATATATATATATATATATATATATATATATATATATATATATATATATATATATATATATATATATATATATATATATATATATATATATATAAGCACTAAAAATGACCAACGACACGAACAATAAAAATTGTCAAATTTTCGGGACGCCCTGTCCCTTCCTCAGGACAAAGAGAAAAGTTAAAAAGTCATAAGAACAAAGGAAAAAGAGAAACAAAAACAACTAGCACTACTACTGAACTACTAAACACTAGATATTTACATACTTAATTACATGATGAATTGGAAATTTTAAGAACACTAATAAAGAAAGAAATCAGGACCGCTATGAAATGCGTCCGGTCTATCGGGTATACTCGGGTGAAGTGCGATTTACATAATTGAACGAATTAATTATGCTAATTAGTTACGACAATCAGTAAATCGTACATTGTTTCATTCTCTCAAAATGGCGTAACTTTACTTAATAAAGAATAATCGAAGAAAAATAATATAGCAGGGATATTTAAACATATGAATTATGATCAATTATAAATTTTGAAATATTTAAGGACTTATTACCGGGAAAAAATAATTAACAAAGGTGTAAGCAATACATAGTTATGAGAGTTGTTCGAGAGTTGGTGACGCAAATTAACTGTAGAGTTTACACTAAATTGAGAGAATAATCTTGTTTAGTATCATCAGGAATTGGGTCTAGTTTACGTTCATTCTGGTGAAGTCATTCAGTTTGTTAATACCATTAGGGCGGAATGACTTCAATCTGTGCATCCAGAACTTTTCTTTGCTTTTTCTCTGAGCATCTGTCCATCTTGGGTTATGGTCAATCACCACTACTGTCATGTCCTCCCATTTGTGACCCTCAAGGTTGAAATGTTCCCCATATATATATATTGGATTATTCAACACTATAACAAGATGCGGATAAAAAAGAGAAAAATAATGCTTCAAAATTACCCGATGGAAAAGGAAATTGTACAATTTACAAAAGACAGCCTTCAAGAGGATTGCAGGAAAAAAAATATTCACTAACAAAAAATCTACGCGAAAGTAAACTTAAATTGAAGTTGAGGTAATTGAAAACCAATGTAAGCATTTTGAAAGAGTCCAAAGTGATACAAAAGACATTAAGGAGTTGATACAAAAGTTCAAGTCATTAAATAATATTCAAAAAAGAATTCTTGAACTCAAATTATAGAGAGGAAATTACAAATAAAGAAGATGCACTTTGTAGAAGATTACGACTAGCTTAATTTTTTTTTTAAAATCTATTGTATCCAATGAAAGTGATTTTTTGCAACTTAAGGGTAGGAAACAAACTTAGATAAAATTTATATAGTGAAAACTTTTTTCGCGAACATACGACAGAAAAAAAACATCAGGAATAACGTGAATAAATTAAAATTCGATACAATTGAAAATTTAAGCAATGATGAAAGTATTATCATTAAAGAAACTTATAAAGGTAGCGCTAAAAATTGATCGTGAATATTACAAATCAATTTGTCTTTCTGTGCTAGAAAACAGTTCATATTTTTTTTTAAAGACCTTACGTATGAAATTAATGAGGTTGTCTTTTAAGATTAAAGTATCCGATCCATAGTAGCCTTTGATTCCATGAATTTTAATGCATAACAGATATATACTGGCTGAATATTCATTATATGTAGACATAATCTTCATGTTTTAGTATCTATATAGAAGAGTGGAATGTTTTTTTTTTTACCTTCGCAGCATTTCTTAGTCTGCTCCGATTTATAGAAAAAATACTTCTAACGACAAATAATTTTTATTTGGTCCAGCATAGTTTTTTAACCTATTTCGAATATTCTAAAATCGAAAAAAATATGCTGGCCTCCAAGAAAATTTCGTTAAAGAGGCCAAAATGGCGATTAAAAATGGCGGACATAAATTTTTTTGAATTTACTCTTCTTAATTTCGTTCAAATAGGAGAAATAATGTTTGAATATCTCACTGAGTGTAATACAAATATAAAAATGATAATAGAATGCTAACTTTATTAGTTTAACTCAGAGAATTAGTCGTTTCTACGAAAGCCCAGAAGGCTCATTCTAGATTCAAGTTTCGAAATACGAGATTCAAAATTCGGGATTCGAAATTCGAGTTTCGAGATTCAAGATCCAGATTAACCAATCAAAAGGCTCATTCGAGATTCGAAGTTCGAAATACGAAATTCGAAATTAGAGTTTCGAGATTCAAAATCCAGATTAACCAATCAAATGCGGGTTCAACATTTGATTACTCCTCTTTATTATGTTTTATCTATTAATAAATCGTTTAAAATATTTATAACAAATGAGTCATTTGATGAAATTACAATGCAAGAAAGACTAAAGACTAAAGATTTTCAAAATCCCCACCCCTACCCTAGTATATTTTAATCTTTTATCGTTAATATAATAAATACCGGTATATTGTTTATTTCAATGTAAAGACCACACACGCAGTGTAAAACTTTTCATGTATGAATGACCGGGTGTGGCATCGCCATATTTTGGTGGTATGTGTTCAGTTGAATTTAAATTCGTTTACTGATTAATTCTTTTATTTTTGTTTGTGTGTTCTATTGGTAATGTGTGTATATATTTTGTTTGTTTGTAGCTCATTGCCAATTTGATGTTTAATTAAAAATAAAGAACCATAAAAAGAACTTGACTTTAGTCGTTACAATAACACTATGGTCAGAGACTTAAATATAAAACCATAACACTATAGTTCTGCAGCTCATTTAGACTAATCTACTGTTTGATATCAGATAAAATGAATGCTGCATTTATTCTAATTCATATTTGCAATCTGTATTGTATATATAATTGTTCATTAATTCAAGAAATCAAAGCCTTAGATGAAGATAAGTAATTGGAAACATTTTTATGTACTGATTATTCTCTCTATTAGGAAAACGAACACGGTTTTTATTTATCAAGGCTACGTTGCCTTTCAAGTTTTTAAAGTAACATTTTCAGTGTCGGGAAAAATTGGCAGGTGTGGCGGGTAGGGGTGGGGATTTTGTTAATCTTTAGTCACTATTTATAACTTTATTATTATGTCAACAACCCTTCATATAACGTAGACAATGCAAAAATATATATATTCCTGATATATGTATTCTATTTAATATTTAAGAAGTCATAATATGAATTGAAGTATATCTTGCTTATCAAAAATCCAATGATCATTTAACTTTCCTTCTAATATATATAACACTTTCTTGCATTGTAATTTCATCAAATGACTCATTTATTATACATTTAATAAACGATTTATTGATAGATAAAACATAATAAAGGGGAGTAATCAAATGTTGAACCCTCATTTGATTGGTTAATCTGGATTTTGAATCTCGAAACTCTAATTTCGAATCTCGTATTTCGAACTTCGAATCTCGAATGAGCCTTTTGATTGGTTAATCTGGATCTTGAATCTCGAAGCTTGAATTTCGAATCTCGAAGTTTGAATCTCGTATTTCGAAACTTGAATCTCGAATGTACGAAAGCCCAGAAGGCTCATTCGAGATTCAAGATTCGAAATACGAGATTCAAAATTCGAGATTCGAAATTCGAGTTTCGAGATTCAAGATCCAGATTAACCAATCAAAAGGCTCATTCGAGATTCGAGGTTCGAAATACGAGATTCGAAATTCGAGTTTCGAGATTCAAGATCCAGATTAACCAATCAAAAGCGGGTTCAAGATTTGATTACTTCCCTTTATTATGATTTTACTATCAAGAAATCGTTTAATATATAAATAACAAATAGGCCATTCAATTAAATTACAATGCAAGAAATAGTGTTATATATATTAGAAGGAAATTTAAATATCATTGGATTTTTTTATCAGCAAGATATACTTCAATTTATATTATAGCTTCTTAAATATTAAATAGAATACATATATCAGGAATATATATTTTTGTATTGTCTACTTTGTTTACGGCGTTGATGACTTATAAATAAAATTATGAATACGTGTCAAGTGTCTAAAGATTAACAATAACTCCACCCCTACCCACCCCGCCTGCCTATTTTTCCAAACACACTGAAAGACTTGAAACATGAAAGACGACGTAGTATTGATAAAAAAAATCGCGTTCGTTTTCCTGATAGAGGAAATACATAAAAATTAAGTATTCAATTACTTATCTTCATCTAAGGCTTTGATTTCTTGAATTAATTAAAAATTATATCTACAATACAGCTTGGCAATATGAATTAGAATAAATGCTGCATTTATTTTATCTTATATCAAATAGTAGATGAGTCTAAATTAGATGCAGAACTATATAGCGTTATGGTGTTATATTTTAGTCTCTAACCATAGCTTTATGACCAAAGACTAAAATATACTCTTATCAAACCTTATATAACGCTACAGTTTGATTCAGCAGTCAAGTCTCACTGCACAAGTGTACCCTTTATATACCCTTAAATTATTGTGCAGTGTAGATACGACTCATAACATTTCATATCTAATTATAATCAAATGCAACATTCTCCATCAGCAACGATCTGATGAAATAAAATTAGTTGACCTACTTGTTCCGAAAGACAACGATAAGACCATATAATATTCCATATATACGTATTTACTATTTTGTTAAATTAGAAAAATAAAATTATATATGTATTTTTCAAAATATAATCCAAATTTTAATTTTATTTCGTTTTAATACATAAAACGTTTTTTCTTGCATTATCATTTTAGCAAATGATACATTTGTTATAAATATATTCAACGATTTCTTGACAATAAAAACGTAACAAAGGGAAGTAATCAAAAGTTGAACCCGCTTTTGATTGGTTAGTTTGGATCTTGAATTTCGAAACTCGAATTTCGAATCTCGAAGTTTGAATCTCGTATTTCGAAACCTGAATCTCGAATGAGCCTTCTGGGCTTTTGTACGTTTCTACACTTAATTAGAATTTTCCCTGACTTTTTTTTGTCTATTGTTCTAAATTCTGCTTTGTTCAGGATTTTACATTTGCAAATATCCAAACACTGCAGATTTGTATTTTTTCCTCTACATCTCACTATTCTTCAACTGAATGATGGTGCAGCTGTTAGTTAAGAGACAATATAGCGATTCAAAATGGCGGCCGGGTATGCTTTCTTTTTCAAATTATTTCTTAATGTCATTAACATAAGAGAAAGGATTTGTGAATATCTTACTGAGCGTAGTACAACAATGTAAATTTCCAATAGAACACTAATATTATCATTTTAATTTGGAAATTGTATGTGTTTAATTTGAAATGTGTTAATTAGCTCAAAATAGTGATTCAAAATAACGTCATATTCACTCGAATTTCGTAAAATCCTCAAAACTGCTTAATTCTAATTCGTTTTGCAGAAAATAAGTTTCAGTTTGTTTTTTTTATATATAGTATTGATTAGTCCATTAAATATGAACAAACAGAAAATAGAAAAGATTCATTTTTTTCTGGAAATAGTAAAAACAAACTCGACAGAAGGGTTTCCAAATCCCTCCTCTCGTATTTGACCGTGTTCCAAAGCCTTTGAGCACCCGTCCACCTATAATCACTCCTGAATCATGTCATTATCAACTCTACTTTTACTTCTACTTCAACATCCCTCAGCACACCATCAAATTTAACTGAAGAAATTCTTGTCCAATTTCATCGAACACTTTGTTCCACCTTTGCTTTTAGCACTCATAAGAATTTAGTAAATATCCCCTAATATCTTCCATTTCAGATTTATTTGCTAAATGTTTCAGTTTGTCTTCGGAATTTTGGTATTGTCAATACTCAAGTAAAATGGTGCCCCGTGTCGAGGATGACAACTCCGTTGGCACGTAAAAGATCGTTTCTCTGGAGTTCGAAAAAGAGAAAGCTCAGTGAGGGCCGCCAGAGAATCAAAAACCAATTATTTAAACTGATAGTCCGCCGAAACATGGCTGAAAAATTGCCGACTCGGCGTTAAACAATATACAATCAATCAAATGTGATAACCTGGGCCAGTTATGGTGAAAATTACAAAGGGCAGAGAGGAGACATAGAATGACAGTGCACCTACAACAAATAAGAGAACCAAAATACCGGTGTACCACTGTAAGCAAAACCATCAGAGACTGTTAAAAAGCAATTTCACTGTTTTCCTTTTTAAAGATTCGGAATACTACAGAAAAAACGTGAAACGACATAAACGTCTTTTAAATGCCACGTAATTATACTTAATGAGAAAAATACTTTTACCCCCATTATTTAACTGTGTTATTTGTTTTAAAAAAATAAATTCATGTACTAAATTACTCACAAACGTTATATGTGTACCATGACGTCATTATGAATTTTGCTAAAACGAATCTAAGTATTAGCGCGTTTTGACGTCAAAATAAGAATGTTAATTTTAAAACATATGAATTATGCAATGTATTGTATTTTAATATAAATACAATTTTCGTGTATACTCACTTATAGAATTATGCACAGAGAAACCTGCACTTGCGTGACTTCACAATGAGGCTTCAGACACATTAGAAAAATGCAACGTATAGGACAGCGAGAAATTCAAATATTGAGTATGTTTTTTGGTGCTTTCAAATATGTAAAATGTAAATGTAAAAAATGTTTTCAAGTTTAGTGTGAATTATTGATGTTTAAATCAGACAGACTTGCCTGTAGGCATATTTGTTATTAAACGTTAGCAAAACAGAAAAAAAAGAAATGATGGAAATTGAGAATGGAGATTCGTTTGTATAGAGCTTTCATTTTACACTAAAGCAAAGCTGTTCTTACTGTTTTGCTAACAATTTCACCATGTTCCTTTGGCCTAAGTACATTATATTATCAATGACTCCTCCAGGTTCAATCAGATCCAATATAGCCAGTCTGCAATATAACAAAGATAGTTGATATTTAGAGAAAGGGGCAATGAGGATAAATAACAGGAAAACCCTTCCGAAATTCAAATATATTTGCTTAAATATAGGCGCCTATCTCACTAAAGATTAGTAAAGAAGTGACTTCTTAGTGGTTCTGTTAAGTCTTTTGTATTTGACCAAGACCTAATTCATTTAATAAAAAGTGATAAAGGAAACTTTACAATTTAAGATAAGGTTTGAAAAATTTTACAAATACACAAAATTATGATACCTAAGAGTCTAGACGGGAATTTTTTAGTCGAGGTCACTTTTTTACGTTTTTGAAAAATCGAAAATTTCTAACATGATTGTATTTAAAAGAAATATTGAAAAAAACTATGTTTTTCTTCTATGTTGGAGATCGAAAAATTGGTTTGTGACATGTATCTTCAAATGAATTGTTTGAGTCTTATAAGTGAAAAGAAGAAAACACTTGCTGTGGCCTTCAGTTCAATATTTAGATATATCGACGACGCATTGTCCATTAACATTGTAATTTCCATTTGTATGTCGATGCGATATATCCGGGTGAACCTGAGATAAAAGATACCACAGAGTCTGACACATCTGTTTCATTTTTGGATATTGTACTCGAAAAAGACGTTAATGGCAATCTAACAACCAAGCTCTATGATAAACGTGATGACTTTAATTTTTCTATCGTCAGCTTCCCTTACTTATGCAGCAATATACCTTCATCACCTGCATATGGAATGTATGAATCTCAGTTGATTCGATACGCAAGAGCATGTTCTACGTATGAACAATTTCTAAAATGAGGCATATTATTAACAAACAAGTTGATGAAACAAGAATTTTAGCAGTCTCGTTTAAAGTAATTCGTAGGTTCTAAGGTCGATAAAATGGCATTGTCAGCTAATAAAAATTATCATTTAGTCAAATGCTGACCGATATTTTTCATACTTATTGTAAGTCCATTATTTATACACTGACTTGACAGATTTTTCTGTCATTTCCTAATCATGACAAGGAGCACACGGCGGGTGTGGCCGGTCGCCAGGGGATGCTTGCTCTTCCATGGCGCCTGTTCCTTTCTCTGATGTTTTGGAGGTATGTGTTAGCTCTGCTCCTGTTTTGTATTTTTGTGGACTTTGATATTGAATACAGTTCGTTATCTCGATATCCTTCGGTAAGAAAAAATAACTTACTCATTTATGAAGTGCATGTTGTGGAAATGAGGATGCATTAATTTGTATATTGGGTGCCTCTCGGAGAGATTTCTGTGCACACACACGCTTACTCCTCCCATCATTAGATGTGTATCGCCTACATATATGAAACGTTATCAATAAAATTTATCACAGGCTTTTGAAAATTGTCTTAACATCGTTGAATTTGGATATTTTTACATCTAAGTTTAAGACAACTCTCCCCTTGCTTCCTTTCAAAATGAAGACTTTTAAAGAGGAAAACAATTCAAACAATTATCCATGTTTCTTAACCTGTGCATGATATTAAGTCTCATTCAATAATAAAATTATTTGTATCATCTGTCCTTAATATAGTCAATAATATTTCCACATAAGGTAGTGGAAATCTAAAAAAAAAAACTATTACCTAAATGACTGATCGCTTCATGATATTGAGCATCCAACATATTGAACCACATTCTGCTTTTGACCCACTTTTGAAGTTTGTCTACAGAATCAGAATCTCTTGGAGGTGGAGTGTATACCTAAAATCAAAATATTATCACCGTTTCACTTTTATCGACTATAGTTCTATGTTAGTTTTGCCATCTTTCTTGAAATATCAATTTTTTTCAGATTTACACTTTTTTTTCAAAAATTGAATTTTCATTATGTCGGAGAAAATGTGAATTAAATTCAAAACCAATTCCTTGTCAAAAGATGGAACATAAATGTACAAAAATAATCCATAAACTATTTGCTAGTAGACATTGTGCACTTAAGGACAAGGTAATTTTAATGATACGCTGCATATGACAAGATCATATTTTAATATTATAGTCTACAAATTTAATTATAATTGTGTTATTAATTTAATTATAACACAATGTGTCTCAAACTCGGCATTACATTAAGTACATCCCTCATTAGAACTATAGTCATTTACAATTTCATAGAAAATGCACTGACACATAGTTTAAAACAATTTTCATCATTCTGAGACGATTTATCTACACAACCATATAATGCATGTCTGTCTCTTTGTTCTTTTTCTTGCATCTCCCTAAACAACTCCCTATTAGCCAAGTGGAATATTCCAGAGCAAAACTAAAACAAATCATTGTGTTCCAATTTTATTTTCATTGTTCAAATATTGCAGTAAATGATCTGGTAACGTTCTTTTTTCTTAAAAACATAGAGATATTATAACAAGCTAAAATTCGATGCAGGAGCTAAAAGCCAGAGATTTAGTGGCCTGAGATAAATTTTCTAGTCCGCGAGATGAGTTTTGACATACATGTATTTTAGCTATAGGGAGATTGATTAATAGCATGCTAAAGAAAATAAAGACAAGTTTGCAAGTACTTTCTCTCTGGAAGTGTAAATGAGTGAAATTCTGCAAAAGTTTTAGTCATTGTTATTTTCAATTCGATACAGTCAGCTATTATTATTATACATGTATTGTGACCTACGCTATTTGTTTCAGAAACAAGCACATCTGCCTAATAAGGGATACAGTGTGCTACTATTTAGATTATAAACAGTGTTATACTTTTACTTACTAAGTTTAATCCATCGTTATGATTTTTTTAATCATAAAACCTAATCTTTATTTGATGTAAATAGATTAATTCAGTTAACGACGTTTTTAAAAAGTAGAAAACGGTTCCACTATTATTTTAATTACTATTCAAAAACTCAATCAAATTTGATGTGTTTTAGAAGGCATATATGGGTAATTAGACAATCTGTACAAAGAATTATCCAATGAAAATGTCCTTTCTTAAATAAAAAAAAAAGAAACTCATCAGAAAATATTTTTATTTATTGAAGCAATAATTTTTATTGAAATTATTTTTGTCAAATTCCTAAAAGAACTCCGTAATCTCTTTTTATTTGATTTTCTTACCTCATTATTATTAGGGCTATTGTCAAAACAAATTGCTACTGGCATCAGCACATTGGTGTATATTGTAAATAAGGCAATAGGCGCCAAAAGCTAAAACGAAAGCAGAAAAAATTAAGTGTAATTTAAAGAACATTTTTATTGAAAATATGTCATTTATATGCTTAAAAAGCTTATTTTCAGATAGAGCAAAATGCAGATGATTTTTTGCTATTTGTTTGTGTCCATCGTTGTCGTCTACCATTCGTCTGTGGTAGAACTTTTTTTGCCATTACCTGAACCACTGAAACAAATTCGAACTTAACCAAATTTGACATATTGCAATAATGTATCAAGACGGAAAGAATAACTTGGTTTTCTTTGCTCCACTAAAATATATGAGAAAAAAGTAAATAGGTGCATGGTTACATAAGATGAATCAGGGTTTTCTTATCCAAAATTGTCATATGAGTGACACCAAAGTTAGGGGTTCTTATGTGTGCGGGAAATGGAGATTGGGGTGGGATTGCTCTTGATAGAAAAGATTTTTTTAAATGGGCTTCTGATGTTAGAAGTGGTGCAATATTGAGAATGTAGCAAAAGTGTACTATTTCTTAAAAAAATATTTTTGTACTTCTGCGTACATGTATCTAAACAGATAATTTGTATACTAGTAGTTTAGTTGACCCTTTTTCTGAATTTGTGAAATTTGAAAGCCATTTCATTAAAAAGTTAAATGAAATTAACTTTAGAAAATCTTCATCTTGATCATAAGTATTAAGAAAGCAATGTAGCAACGCACTTTGAAAAAACTGCACAAGGACAATGTCATAGTTAATGCTAATGAAAAGTATTTGAGACTGTTTGCTCTTCGTAAATTTAAATGTCTAATGGGACTTTAGAATTTGAGTACTGCTCTTTGCTTCAAATTTCATACAGTAGATAATACGAAAAAAAAAATGCTGCATGGAATATATGTGTTAAGGATTGGTTTTCTATTTGGTTTACAAGATACTTAAGTTTGAAAACATTAAGTTGTTATCATACATACATCACAATCAGCATATGTTAACATGCATTATTTTCATTTTTTTTTTAACTTTTAAACTAAGTATCTCCTTACTGACGGTTCATTGAAAGATACTTCAGTCAGGTCCACAATAAACAATGTCTTGTCCTGTATATGAGTCTTTAGGGACTTTCCTCCTAGATATGGATGGTCATTTTCTATTGTTTTTACAAACGGTGTAAATCTACAAAATCAAATTGTTTTGATCACAAAATTTGTTGTGTGGAATATACATGTAGCACAAAACAACTACTTTGTATCTCAAAACACGTTCAACAATAGATTTTCATCCAAATTTGGAAGTAAAACTAAACTGTTGAGGAATTTCGGTCGCCAGCTTGATGAGATTTCGTGTTACACCATTCAGTCTCTGCCATGCAAACCAATGGTCCATTTGAGCTTTTTGTTTCTAAAGAGATGAACCAAAATTATAAAATAAGGAGCAAAATGTGAATGAGAATAGTTGGTCGCTCGAAAGAGAGAGGTGTATGGTCTACGAAATAGTTAATTTTTAAGTATAATTTCCATGAATTAACTTACACGAGTTTGATTTGGTCCATCTACAGATTCGGTTCTCCACACTTCACAGCCCTGAAGAAGTTAATACAAAGTTAACGTGTAATCTGTTAAACAGAAAAGTTAACTGGAAACTTCCGTATTCATCGAAATAAGAACATACAAGAATGATAAAAAAAAGTTCGATAACTATCTCTATATTTACAAAACCACAACTCAGTTCAGAGTGAAAATTGGTAAATCTAAAGGCATTAACATGTTCTATTAGTAGCAGATGTTAATTAATGTTTGCAACGTGCAATCTGTAAATGACATCAATGTGTATCTGATGTGACTAATCGTAACTTTTGGAACCTTTACGACAACCTCAGTATTTAGCAGACGTCATTGCAACCTCCTTTTTTTACAAACTTTGAAATAAAGGTGCAGAGTCCTCTAGTTTTCGTGGAGTATGATTTAAAACTTTTTGAGATGTAAAAGGATTACCAAAAATATACGAAAGAATGGACTTTCAACTTTGTCCATCTAGTTCTTTAATAAATAGGAAGCGACTCCGTGTTGTATAATTAATTTAACAACCAGTGATGTTAATACTATGGATGTTGCTTTTCCGACCTTTGACGAAGAGGACCAAGTCGATGCGATTGATCTTGTAACACAATGATTGATATAGTTGTATTCGAGCAGGGAATGGCTGTAAAGTTTAATAATCCTATTCATATCTTCTAAATTCCTTTAAAATTGTATATTATAATTTGTAAGTTAATGAAGTCAAGGGACACTGCGAGAACTTCAATCATTAATTGGGTTAACTGTTTTATTGTAGGGAGGGAGGTGATTACAGATTATTTTAATTCTGGTGCCAGTGAAAGTAAGCTTGGGAAAAATAGTCCTTAATTAGCATTTTTTATGAATAAAAGGTTGCCAGGTTACGATGACCGTTCAATAAATAATGATAAATATCGTCTAAAAATAAGAAAAGTACGCTATACATGTATATATTCTTACTAGTTTCAATCAGGCATTAAAACAGTCATTCCCTGTTACCCTTTATACATGTCATAATTCTTTGTATCCATTGACAGAAATCCTCAACAAACTCATCTTTAGGAATACCACAGTGACACAGAAGAATGTCATTTCCCATGATTTATACAATATTGTACAATTTTCCTTTGGTTGTTTTTATGTGAAATTGGAATATATAGATCTCACAATGGCTGTAATCTTACAAATATTGTTGATTGAAAAAGTACTGTATACTTTCTATTCTTTAAAATCTTTTTATTTCCCTAAGCTTAATCACTGGTGTGTTGTCGGGTACAGGGAAATTACCCTGTGTAAGGGTATTAGGACTTCATTTGCAGGAAATCAACTTATTTTTCCTAAGTGTGATTTAAACATGAAAGTACCAGTGCTAGTCCTTCAATTTGGAGTATGTACGTGAACCATTTGAAATATATGTACTATGGTAAACAAGGGTGAGGCAGGTAGAGTGAGGGCCTGAGTCAGAACTTAAATCCATTCATTCCATGTTGCATTCACTCTTATTGGTACCAAGAGTTCAGTTCCCACCACAGTCACCTGTTGGGGCGCTATCGCACCAGGTCAGTAGGGAGGTCATCCCGGTCCCCAGGTAATGATTTCCTGGATTCCGCCGGGGTATTTACATCTATGTATAAATCGATTGTGACAAATAGTTGCCACAAAATGTTATAATTGTTTTGCAATAAATGTGATTAAAATTTATATCTGTCTTTATTCATTGCGTCTGGGATTAAAGTTTACTTAAGGGAAAAGGAAACTTACGGTAAACTTTTGAATTAAATTAAAATTATCATTTCCAATATTTTTTCTAGTATTGTTATTCAACCTTTAATCAACAAGTTACGAAAATCTTTTGTGACTTTGACTGATAATTCCTTAGTTATTCAAATTGATATGTCAATACCCCCCCCCCCCCCCCCCCAAAAAAAAAATCTCAAGCGATGAAATGTCTGGAAGGTGACTCCTTCTCTTTAGACGAATATCAAGATCATTCCCGGTTCAGTTAAATGCGGTCCAAAATTTTCAAATTTCAACAATCTACAAATCAACAATCTGGGTTTCTATACTGGTTCCCATACTGGTTAATAATTTAGAAAGTAATATCAAGGACAAATAGACACTGAAATAAAAGTGGGTAAAACATGGTGCAATGAGGAACCAGATATCAATATTCCGATTGCTCTTCCTCCTTCCTCAATGGTCATTTCCCCATTGTTTTGTGTTTTAGTTAAACCAATAATGGTCAGAAATAGATGCTGATCATAAAAAACACGTGCTTCAAAGTACAAATTTATTGTTTTTGGGCTTTGTCAGGGGACATTGGTTTTCATCGGCGGTAACTGATTTTCCTTCAACAATTGTTATAAAGATTTATTGGTTATAATAATTTGAAAACATCATACCATTCTATCATGCAATAAATACATTTATTAGAGTGAACATTTGGTTAATTAGTTTTGTTAGGTGTATAGTTTATGAAGGGAAAGCATAATATAGATTTTATCTACAATTTATCCAAAGAATTTTCTTCTGATAATAAAAATAAACTTTCATAATTACAAATTGTGTTGTGAACTTTAAGACAAGGGGATCAGCTAACGTGAATATTCTTCTTAAATTCAGCAGGGGATGCTCACTACTTCATGGCCCTGATCCCACCTCCAAACATTTTGAGGTCCGTATTTCCTCTACTCTTATTTTGTATTGTTTTGATCTTGAATATTGTTTGTTATCTCCATATGTTTGATGAAGAATATTTGATGAATTTCAAGACAAACATGTTCCCTCTTACCTTTGGTTCTTTAAGTACGCAGGAAGATGTAAAATGATTGATCATTTTGCGAATTGTCCATCCACCACAATGTAAAAAATTAAAAACCAGTCCATAGAAAAAGAAAAAGATGTATCGGGCTTTATATTTCATCTGCAGGAAACATTAAAGAAAAGTGCAAATAAAACAAACACCTGTTTATGACATTTGTAGCATTTTCTGAGATTTTGCTCGACCATTAAGATATGACAAAATAACCCACATTGCTCAATCTAGTTTGAATTAATTTTTAGATAAAAACTTACAAAGGTCAAAGTTGACCACCGTTCTTCTTTTGGAAGTTTGCGAAGCTACAAATGAATGAATTTTAGAATGACATATTATGTAATAAAAGATTATATATCTCACATTCTTTTCTTAATAAATTTTCATGAGCTGAAAAATACCGTTTTTTAAAATTATGATCGACGTTTTAACATCAACCAAAATTACAGGAAGAAAACAGAATAATACAGAAGAAAGTAATTATCAATCTTCAAATTTTCAAATTTAAAGAAAAAAATGTATATTAAATTTTTATTCTAATACATTTTCCAAGTATGTTAACATTTCTTACATCGAAACTAAAAAGCACAATTTAATAGGAGATGGAGTTGTACATTTAAAAAAATGTTTGCATCTAATCCTGAAAAAATCAAATACTCACAATTGGTGGAACATTAACAATATTGATTTCCCTCTGCACGATATCAGAAAGTCCGAATGTGTTTTGTTCCAGTTCATAATTCTCCCTAGCCTTTTCTAGTTTTAGGTTTCTAGATTGGATTTCTTGATCATGTTGTGGCAGCGATGGGGGTTGTACGTGCAGGTTGCCCATTTGCTGAAATAATTTCTTGAGCTGATTGTGACGAAGTAATTTACACCCTTATTTATATCTAAATTCAAATATAAGAATTATACCGGAACGAAGGATGTAATTAATTCACTCTCGGGGGAATCCCGGTCAGTTTATTTTACAGGTATTTTGTAACAATACTTTCATTGAAAATGAGGCCTAAAGAATTTAACACATATTTTTTTCTGGGTAAAAATATTTATATTGGACATTGCAACCTACACTTTAACCGAGATTTTCGACATAAGTTACCTATATTATACGAGGGTTGACCCAAAAAGTCGTAGACAGAGAAAGTAGTTTTGTGTTCCTTTGCCTTATTTAATTTCTTTCTTTTTCATAGCAAAGAGTAAAATTTTATGATCATGCATTTCAAGTTTCATGATGATATCACATCTTATAAGAAAGTTATGAAAAAAATAAGAAAGAATATAAGTGTACACCGGCGCACGAAAGCAAGCGTAAATTACGTCTATTATAACGTCATGATCTCTTTGTCTGCTTCACTCGTGGGTATTTTATACATTCAATATTTTTTTTAAGTGATAGACTACTCTTGATTAAGGGACATATTTAAATTCACTACTGTCTTTTTGTTTTTCACTTGTTTCTTTTTTAAAGCAGATTAAAATTTCAGTCGAAATTTAGACGGTGAAATTTAGTCGAAAGATCGTCTTACATTCTAGGCAGTAGAGAGTACAAATTGTTTTACGTCGTTCGCCGTCCAGATTGTTCCCAAATATCTGCGTTTATCAAACAGTACTCTACTTCTTACATGCCATAATTAACTATTTTCAGTACAGAGATAAAACTCACATTGAATATCGTGCAATTTAAAAATAACTTCTTTATAAAAATGTGGTGTTTAACGCCACTTCTGTACTCTTTTTTCCCGTCTCTGATGTATATTAACCATATCCAATACAATTTATTAAATCTCCGTGCGTTTGACGACGTCATTTTCATCATCTTCAATTTCAATGATACTATGAAAATCATGACACCAATCGTCTGTTTCTAATGATATTTATATGAAATTTTGATATGTTATTAAAAATTTTATTCTGGTTTTAGTGATTCAAAATTGAGTTCAATGTATAGTGTATTACATAGTTTTAAAGATATAAAAGCAAATGTAACAGTTATATGCGTAAATTATTTAGAATTTTGTCCGTGGGACGACAGGCCTTATCGGCCTTCATATAAATCGTCCTAATATTATTAATATGAAATATATGTATTTTAAAATTAACAATTTTAAAGAACATTTACTATATTATGTCTATGCAAAATTTGGTAAGTATTGGTTGCATGTTCAAAAAATCATAAACATTGTCTACGACGTTTTGGGACAACCCTCGTACTTGTCATAACTTGCAAATTCTTTTCATTTTTATAAGTAACTGAAATCGTAATTCAAATGTTATAATAACTTTGTAAAACTAAAAATAATTTCTTCCACCTTCTTGTGACATTATTGATTTATGTCCGGCTTTTATACCCTTATTTATATCTAAACATAGAAATGTAACTGTTAATGAATTCGGTCTTGGAACTTGATTGTTTTCTAAAGAAAACTTAGAATATCTAAAAGAATTTTAACCTTGATTTCATTAAAACTGAAATGAACAATATATGAGCATCCATGTCCTTTCGACGTCCGGTGTTACGCCTTGTTCAAAGATCGCGGAACAAGTTCGATTACGTAAAGTACAGTAACCTTATAGTTATATAAGAAAAATTCCGGTCTATTTATGAAAAGGCTCGGACTTTTTAAGAAAAGGTCTGCATATAATGAAAGGTTTGTTATGCAAATTATCCAGCAAAATAAATAACAAATTGTAAATCTAGTCTTAAAAAAAATTTGCTATATCCCACGTATTTTTCAAGAAATGATTTTTTTTTTAATTTCTGATTGACAATTAAACATCAATCAAATATTTTTGGAATTTATACAGAAGAATACGTAACATAATTTTAAAATTATCGTATGAATGTTCCCAGTATGTTAACGTTTGCTACATTGAAACTAAATGGCATTTGTCAACAGGCAAATGTGATGTAATAAAAGAAAATATTTGCATCTGATGCTAAAAAAAATCATATACTCACAATTGATGGAGCATTAACAATATTAACTTCCTGTTGTACAATCAGTTAGTCCGATTGTCTTTTGCTCCAGTTGATAATAAATAATAGACGAGCATCTATAAGACATATAACCATGAATGTTACAAAACTGAAATTGACAACAGTTGAGCATCCATGTCCTTTCGACGTCCGGTCTTGCACAATATTTGTTCCGCCTCGTTTAATATTCACCGGAGCAAGTTCGCTAAGGTAAAGTACAGTAGAAGGTCCGGTGTAACAACGAAAAGTACATGTAACCACCGTAGAATATTGACAGGTATTAATTTTTCTGCGAAGAAATTTTACACCCGCCTCAATATTCTGCGTAGAAAACTTTTGGAAAAACTTAGCGTCTTTTCTTTCCCTTTTTGTTGTTTAAAAATGTCCCCGTAGAAATAATGACCTTGTGTCTTTGTTTATATACAAAAAACTGTTTTGCATGAACATTCTTGTTAGGCAAATACACGCAGCCTAGAACCTTAAAGGTTTAACTAACAAAATGTTACGCTACACCGTATTACCTATTCAGTAAAGACTGAACGCACATGTGTTCCACATAATTATTATAAATTCAACACACATTTTCGTTGGCAGAAAATTATTGATTCCAAGGATTTTTTAAATGGTCAGTTTTACATGTAAGCCTTGGAACAGGATTTCAAACTTATAACATGAACGAACTCCTGATTTCGGCTGATGAGCTTCATTAACGTGTACATCCAATGTGCGGTAAACAATATTCATCCACCATATCCATAGCATTTGTATAAGTTCATATGTTACATATTTATATGCAACAGTAGATATTTGTAGTAACTAGTTCATGTATTTCCAAAACCATTCATTAAATACAGTTTATATAGTTTTTACAGGCCGTTTTAGGAAAGATGTGTAATCCTGAATATCTAGGATATACACGTTCTGACAGAAAAATTTATTTAATATATACAGCAGATAAATACTTTAAGACTACATATTATTTAGATCTTTATGCCTACCAAGTGAGAATTTTTATCAAGTGAGAAATTTTGATCGATATTTGTCCTTTGAATAGTACTGTCGTTGTTGTCGTCGTCGTCGTTGTTGACATTTTCGTTTTTGAATAAAGGGCCATGCATGAAAAATGAATGAAATCTTTTATGTAATATTCTCAAAAAATGTATTTTTATTAATTGAGTAATGATATAATGTATTATATATTCAAATAATCATGTTTTACACCAAGCTAAAGGACATTACAGCTTATACAATACAATAATAAATTGTAACAATGTAAACAGCATTTCTAGCATACCGATATAATGACAACTTAGAAATTGATATAATTCTTTTAAAAATTACATTTTTTCATGTCATGAAATTGTACATGAATTTAAAATTACTAAACAGCTTTTTCTGAAACGAAATATGAAAAGAAATACAACGTTTTTGCTAAAGGCATTTTCTTAATACAAATATTCATACTAATTAAAATAACTAAGAGTTAGGTTAAATAGCAACTTGTATAATAAGATTAAGAAAAAAATATAATCTAGCGCCTTATGTAACATAACATATAGACTTCTGAACTTTTCATTTGATTTCTCTCGACTGGTACCCATAGAAATATTTAGATACAATTCTGTTTAAAAAAAATTATAGGATTAAATAAGGGATACGTGATCTATAAAATCTGATTATAATTTGTTTTTTAAACTTTCTTAAGAATATATCATGCTAATAACTTTATAAATAAAATTTTCAAAATTACCTCAAATTTCACTGGGAGTTAACATATTGATAAACTATTTTGTATTCATTAATTGCATTTCGAATACAAAGTGAGGGCAATGACGTATGACGTCCAGTTAATGATCATTTGAAATGATTTACAGATTTTGTGTGTAAAATTAAAAAATCTTATTAAACAAAATAATATTTTACATGTGTTGCGGAAAAAATTCATAGACTTGCATATCTGCTTTCATTACACTGTACAAATATCTAAATGAAAAATTTAAAATTATTTCAAAACCAATATTATATCATTAATGAAATATACAACTTGTAGTCAACTCTGTTCTGACCTTCAACACCATGTACATTTTGATAACCTGTATAGAATGTAGAGTCCGATTCCATATCACGAAAAATAAGATTGATTAATCCCATTTACATAGATAATAAACGTGTAATTTCATATCAAGTAGTGATAAAAATGTGTATAGTTATATACATGTGCAAATTAAAGGACCCATTCAAATACTTATTGAGTTCCGTACATTAGCTGGAAGCAGCCACTCGTAAGGGTACTCATTAATTTGGTGTACCGAATTCTCGATGGAGTTGTTTCTCTGGTTTATTATATCTCTGACTGTAATGAGATTGTGTTGAAAACTGCAAGGAAAATCAAGAAAATACGTAAAAATTTGACAGTTGATAGATTTTACTGAGTTTCCGTTATTTCACATTTCATAAACGTTTACTATCAAGATTGTTGTTTATTACTTATATATTATTTAACTTGATTGCAAAAGAATTTGATTTCAATAAACATATATTGATGGAATAAATCAAAAGCTTTAATACTTTATACTACTACATACTTTTGCACAATACGTCTACCAGCAGGGTCCATTGCACTCAGGTACTTAGTCTCATAGTTCCCAAGGCTGTTAGTCGTAATTGTGGTTAAAACCATCATAATTTTGATTGTTGAGAAAATCTGTTGCCCTGTAGGCATTGCTTCGTCAAGTTCATGTACACCCTTTTAGAAAAAAATATCAAATACACGTTGATAGAGAAAGAGAAAAATTTGTCAGATTATTTTTCATTTTTAAATTTTACTTGTTCATTTATTACTTGTATTCAAGCTCAGTCCTGGATATATATATGTTTTCTATATGAGAGCCAGATAAATGTAAGATAACATTCATATTTACATTTTCTAACTCCGGTTGGCCACTCAAAATAGCAGGCATATTTGGCGGGAAGGCGTATTGTTCATATTGTGGAAAGTTTGTTGCAGAATGCTCAACACTACAGATGTAGATGATTTTTGTCAACACGTTCACAACATTTGCTATACTGTCAAACTCTGGAACACCCTAAAAACAGGTTTTAGAGATAAAATCATAAATGTTCGTTTGTTATAAATATCAGAAGATACTCCGTGTTACCCAGTACATACGAATTTAGGTCACCAGGAATATTAACCTTTTCCATGTATTCTGTATAATTAGTCTTTTAGACCAATTATGTTATGTCGAATGAATCATGAAAATTCCGTTAGATTACGAAATAAACGACACTGTCTGTCCTCCATAATTTAAATGTAACCATACCCTCTGTTCTTTTTTTTTTAATTTTATTCTTTTTTCATTGTATGTTTATTGCTATACTTTGCACGTATGTTATGCCTCTCATTTATGCTTTTGTATCAAAATTATATTTATTATTTTTCTTACAATTATGACGACTAATTTATATATTGTACCTCATGTACCACTGATGTTGGTGTGAGTGAAATAAATGAACTTGAACTTGATCGAACATTATACCTAGAATTATAATGACTCCACAATAAAAATATTTATCCTCTTGCAAATAATTTCAAAAAAACATTAATTTTCTGCACACAATTTCAGCATTTTCATGTTAAAAAGTGGCACATTCATCAGTACGAAGCAATTATACTCTGTCCCACCAAGTTACTGTAAGCACTTTTCGCATAATATCTCAAAATATATAAATACCTTGGCCTTCAACCCAGTTCCGATCTAGAGATCATTTTTTTCCAACCTTCCTCCGTTTATCCGAACCCTCGAGGTCAACCAGTGTAAACACACGGCGGCAAATTCAAAGTCTACGGGGATTTAACATGGTAAACTCGTCCATGAACGTCTAGAATACGGGGCCGGGAACCAGTTTTCAAAGGGAGTAGTCGTTCTTTGCAAAGTAAATTTCCAAAAAAATCGTTAAAAATTAAAGGAATTAATTTAAATTGCCTTTATTGATGATATAATTTTTACTTTGAATTAAAATAAATTTTAACAGCATTTAACAAATTTAATTATGTACTGCGAGAAAATAGTCCGAATCTAACGAAGTACAACTTGTGGATCATGGATGTTGACATGATGATGCAAGCTCGCCAGTGTTTAAAACGTAAGTTGTTTATTTATTCTATGGTATTTTTGCAGCTGTTGTTGTTTTACTAGCTTATATACACACAAGAAAGAAGTGTCTACAAATGCTAACAATATATATATATATAAATGTTTCAAAACGCGTGATATTGCTGACATTATACTATCGACGATACATCAATTTCAGCCATCTGGTTAGTGCTCATGGTTAACCGTTAGTGCTCTGCGCTGTAACGGTCTGTATGTAAGCTCATGTGTGAAAAATGTAAAGGGGTGTTTCTATGATTATAAAAGAACAAGAATATGGTTTAAAAAATTAGGTGAAATAATACCAAAAAGGAAATAACAGCTGGTTAACATAGTGACTAAAGTTTTTAAAATTTTATTTCTACTTTCATTTTCAATTTATAACATTTCATGCATTTTGCAAATAAATAACATCTTTAAAAAAATGTTTGATTGCCCTGTTCCAAGCAACTGGCTAAAATGACTCAAAACTTTATTTTGAATCTCTGGGAAGCAATTAATATTTTTTGTATTCTGGAGAATAAATTTATTTATTAAAATTTAATGATAATTAATTTTTCTGAGAATAATTTTCTCATCTACCTACCATTAACCTAATCCTGAGTTGGGAGAGCTAAGGCAAGACCAATTTATAGTGGCACAACAGCATCGTTTTTTTTGTAAAGTCCTATACTGCTCAAATGTGAACTTAATTTCTGTTTCCTTAATTCCTAGAAGATTTTCTTTTTAAAAGGACACAATAAGATATCTGTAGCATACAGAGAAAGACTAAGATATGACAATTAAACTGCAAGGAAAAACTGCACGATACAAGTGCCGGAAAAACAAAGGTTGTATAGATCTACCGTTTCGTTGTTTTCGTGTTTGTCAAGGTCACGCCACTTTTATTTTAACTTTTTAAATTGTAAACAACATTCAACTGGAGCATGCAAAGATGAGAAATAATTATATGACATATGTTCTAACGTTTTAAAAGATTGCCTATGAAATTTTGGTCTACTTACATTCATTCCTGGGTACTTGAGACCATGGTAACTATGGAAACTTATTCAACTTTTCTGCGCATGCGTACAATGGGGTAGAAGAAGTATTGAGCAATATTTTCCGTCTGGGGCATACAAAAATTATTTTTACTTTTAATTTATTTTTCTCCTTAAAAATAGAATTTTTAGGTTCTGAAACCTGTAATTCTCTGAAACCTAATACTTTTAGGAATTGAACAAAATTAATAAGGGTCATGCAAAAATTCTACATTTGCCAATTTTCCCCTTTGTGCGTCACAATGCCACTTTAAGTATTTGTTTTTAAAAACCGTAGGCCATAATAAAAATATTTATGTTTGATGTACTCTGACACACATTTTTCAAGGTGTGTAGGTAGGTATCTTTTTATACGCCCGTCTTAAGACGGGACGTATTATGTTATAGGCTTCGTGTCCGTCCGTCTGTCCGTCTGTTAGCTTTTCTCGTGTCCGGCTCATAACTTTAATACTATTAGGCCTAGAGTTACCAAACTTTGTCAGGTGATACATCATGGGTAGAAGGTGTGTCGCGCACAAAAAGTAGGTCACTCTGACCTTTAATAAAGATGCTATAGCCAAATATGAAAAAATCCTGTCCGGCTCATAACTAGAAAACTATAAGACCTAGAGCTTTCAAACTTGGCAAAAGTATACAGCTAAAGTAGAAGGTGTGTCGCGGCCTACTTCAAGGTCACTGTGACCTTTAATTTAAGTGATTTTTTTTAAAAAAACTAAGTCTTTTAAATTTTAAATTTCATAATCCTAAAAAATGTAAAAATATAGTTGTATCCTTATTAAAAAAATGTTAAATTAAGTAAAAATTTATTTTTTCATGATATGCTTTACAGCAATCTGTAACAAATGTTAATGCTTTGAGAGGAATTCAGTTTGTCCCATGGGCATAATTAGCAAGCACTGGTCAAGAAGAATTTTGATAGCAGAAACTTGCATGTCAAATTAGAGAGAAATTAATGAGTTTTTTTGTCAGGAGCTAAGAGTATCTCTAGATCTAATGCAGCTGTTATCTTAATCTATCTCTTGGGATAATCAGCCGATGAATTACAACATGCAATTAACGAATTTCAAAAATATTGTTTGCAATGGAAGTTGAAAGTTAATGTCGAAAAAACGAAGATCATGGTATTTTCAAAGGGTCCAATGTTAAAAAGAAAATTTTATTACGACAACTTAGTTATTGAAAACGTTAAAGAATTTAAATACCTAGGCGTTGTATTTTCACGCTCTGGTTCCTTTTGTAAAACAAAAAAACACTTATATGAACAAGCTCAAAAAGCGATGTATGGAATTATAAGAAAAATTAGACAATTCAAATTACCAGTTGACTGTCAATTTGATCTTTTTGATAGAGTTGTAGTACCAGTCTTACTATATGGCTCTGAAGTATGGGGCTACGAAAACCTTGATATTGTAGAACGTTTACACTTGAAGTTTTTAAAGCATGTATTTAATTTGAAAAGTTCCACGCCATCGTACATGGTCTATAATGAAACAGGTCGCTTTCCTCTGTACATCTCGGTATACTGTAGAATGATTTCATTTTGGGCAAAGCTTTTTTCAGGCCCACAAACTAAAATTGTAAATGTTTTATACAAACATATGTTTAAATTGTACTGTGATGGAAATTTAACAAACCCATGGTTAGATTGTATACAGAAAATATGTAATATATGTGGTTTACCAAATGTATGGTACGAACAGAGTGCCAATATGAATTATAAATGGATAACTGCTACCGTAAAACAAATATTACAAGATCAATTTATTCAAAAGTGGTCTAGTGATGTTAATAATTCTTCAAAAGGACAAACTTACAGAATCTTTAAACAAAATTTTGGATTTGAAAATTATATTTAATAAGTTATCTCCAAAATTTAGAGCAATATTTATGAAATTTCGTACCACAAATCACCGTTTACCTATAGAGACAGGAAGATGGCAAGGTTTACCACTGTGCGATAGAATATGTACACTTTGTAAAAACAATCAAATTGCAGATGAATTTCATTATATTTTAGAATGTTAAACTTTATCTAATGTGAGAAAGAATTACCTGGCAATTATTATTCTTCTAGACCGAATGTTATTAAATTCATGGAAATTATGTCAACCTCAAACGAAAAAGTGATGAAAAAACTTTGTATATTTATCCAAAAAATCTATGCTGCTGTCTGTCCTCCTTGATATGTTTACCCACTCTTTTTTTCTACCATTAATCTTTTGTTATGTTTTCTATATTGTGTATGTACCTCTGACCAGACTGTTTATATTGTATATAATGTATATATGTTATTTATGCACAATACCCCATGTACCAATAGATTGGTCTGGGTGAATAAACTGAACTTGAACTTGAACTTGGGAGTTGGGCAAAAAGAAATGGCCTCATAGTTGCTTCTGTTAATTAAGAGTTCTTGATGGCTAGTCCAGATAAAGATCTTCCAATTGGTGTAATGTAATTAAAACAAATTTATGTTTTAGTGTATGATTAAAACTAAATTAGTATTGTATAATATAATTAAAACTAGTTATACATGTGTTCATTGAAAAAAAAAATTTCAATTTTTATATATTTGCAACAAATAGCAGTCATGTCTCACTTAGAATTTTATAGTCTGAAGAAATAATAATTTATGTTTGATTTTTTTTATTAAACTGTAGCATTTCTATTATTTCATAAAATATGCAATAAACAATTTAAGTTTAAGTAAGCTGCAGATGGATATTTGTTATGCTCTAACACAACCAGTTTAGAGTTATATGATGTATTTGTTATAACCAATCCCTACACTGCAAGTCTCTTAGAGATGTATGATAAGAAATGGAAATTAAATCATTGAAATCTGTGTCAATCTGTTAATCAAGGCTATCCGATTTTCTTGCATCCTAACCA